GCTTTTCTGTTCACTCACACTTCCAGTTGTTTAATTTTCTTTCTGTCAGCTCAGGATTCAGTTCACCAGCAGGGACTTGTATATGGCCAAACTTAGTTTGATTTTTAACAATTATGAATTTTGAAAAATCGAAGAGGATATGTTTGTAAATTTTTTTAGATTAATAGTTTGGAGCCATAAATCCAATATAAGACATGTTTGTTTGTTTACCTATTTATTTGAAGTGCTGGGGATTAAACCCAGGACCTCCTACACTATTCCCTTTCTTGGGACACTCTCTTGCTACACGGGAGCTGTTCACTTCCTGTCTCTTAAGATCTCACCTATAGTAACATTCCTATCTGCAACTCCCTTCTATTAAATTCATTCTTCAAGTTCATGAGACAAGAGACCTGGAAACTACTAGCTCAGGGAGGGTTGGTGGCCATACAATTCCCCATTCAACTTAAAACATTTCTAGGAGGGGAAGAAAAAACAATTATTGTTAATCCCAGGATTCAAGAAAGACCAGTTCCACAACCGAAAGCCAAATTTGAAGAAAGCTTTAATTAAATACTGACCAGGATGGACTCTGGTCAGGTCCATTCTGGGATCCTGGCTAGTAGCCATGAGTTACCTTTTTAAGGGTAAAACACACCTTTAATCCCAGCACTTGGGAGGCAGAGGAAAGCAAATCACTGAGTTGGAGGCCAGCCTGGTCTACAGAGCTAGCTCCAGGACATTCAGGACTACACAGAGAAACCCTGTCTCAAAACAAACAAAAAACCATAATTCATTGCATTTCCCATCAGGTCCAATCATGAGCAAGCATATATCTTGATGTATTTCCTGCCTAAATATGATCAAGTACATCTAGGGTAGTTGGTTCAAACAAACTTGTTTAGGGGCATGAAACATGTGGCTTGTTATTTCCCAAGAACTACAACTCCCAGCATTCCAGAAAGTTGCCTTGTCTTTGGGCAAGTGGGGTCTATGGGTTAACTTTTGCTTTTACAATTATGTGTGAATGAAAGTCCCCAGAAAGAAACTTCATCTACAAAATCTGATTAGTAGAATAGAACTTCAGATGTGAAAGTTAGGATGTTGCAGGTCCAAAGCCAAACCATCCAGGCCAGCCTTAGCCCCCTTTACAGCCATTTGTTTCCTACCTCAGTATGACCTAACATTTTTGTATCTGTTAGGTAAATCCTTTGGGATATATGAACAGACACTCAGCTTACACCAACCCAATGCTAAGAATGTCTTCAGATAGTATTTGCCTATAGCAGAGATTCCTCCATTTTGCTGTTTCTGCCTACCTGATGTGTTACCAGCAATGGGAACACAGGTCCATACCAGCAGCTCCCTGGAGACTTCTAAGAGCCCTCCATCCAGGCAAAACCAGGATTCATGGCTTAAAAAAAGAAATGAATTTCAAAGCTAGCCACATTGTAGTTTGTAAACAGATGTTTCTTGTCCTGACCACCCACCCAGCTCCAAATAACCCACTCAGAGGCTGAATATGAATTATAAATGCTTGACCAATGCTGATAGCTCAGGCTTGTTGCTAGCTAACTTTTACACTTAATACATATTCCTTATTTATGATCTGCCACTTAGCTCATGACTTGTTAGCACATTTCTACACATCCTGCTTCCCCAGGAGTTGGCTGTCTGTCATCTCCCTAGACCCTACCCTCCTTCTTCCCATCATTCTCAGTCTGGCTCTCCTACCCAACACTGTCCTGTTCAGCTATTGGCCCATCAACTTCTTCATTAAACCAGTCAGAGTAATATATATTCACAATGTACAGAAGGATTATTCTCCAGCAGTATTACTGCAAATAGAGAGAAATGTTCTCAAACTAGGCACTGGTGGTACACGCCTTTAATTCCAGCACTCAGGAGGCAGAGGCTGGAGGATCTCTGAGTTGGAGGCCAGTCTGGTCTACAGAGTGAGTTCCAGGACAGCCAGGGCTATACAGAGAAACTGATCTTAGGAGGAAAAGGAGAAGGAAGAGGAGGAGGAAGAGGCAGAGCCTCCTTGGGACCAGGACATGAGATTGTTGGGCTTTTAAAGTTTATCCCTAAAGGTTACTACCAGATTTGACCATTCATTTTAATGATGTTCAAAGACTGTATTTTACTAAAAGTTAAAGACTTGCTCTTGTTGTGGGGCATCCACCAGAGAACGCTACTCAGACATGAGTTTAAGCAAAAGAAGTCTTTATTAGCTGGCTGGTCACTACACTAAGTGTTCAGATACCATTGTAACCCTGAGCCTTTCTCAGGGTGAGCTTTTAAGCACAAAAAATATGTCCTAAGTTAACATACTTCAGTTAACTAGAAAAATTATCCAGAAAAGGAACAGTAGAAGCCTAAAACCAAGGTTAGTACATTTAGAGACCGTCCTAGAACTATGGACTTTGATGGATTAGACCTTAGGTTTCAGTTTTGGCAGGTGATGCTGTCTGCTTGCTGAGTTTTATGGCCTGAATGATGGTACTTCCATCATGGAGTCAGTTGTGCTAAGGTCTTTGGACCCACTATGGTCTGGGGCACTAAAGTAGTGAGATAGGATTATGAGAAGGAATCATGAAGTCTAGGAGAGGAGAATGCTAGAAACACAAGATTATGCATCATTATACTGGCACAGCTGTGGGCATCCAAAGGACCTGGGAAGAGGTAATGGTAGACAGAGACACAAAACAGTAGAACTTCTTCAAGAATGAAGAATTTTTATTTTTCCCCCACTGCTGTTTATATATGATTTACCTATCTACTAGAGATCGCACTACAAGCAGAGCTTGAGAAAGGGTCTCTTTGTCCTCCTTATCTGAGTTCTTCCTTCTGCACTTCCTGTCCTTGTGGCCTTGTTTTTGCCCTGGAGGACATTCCTCCTAGGATCTACCTTGTACCTGCAGACCATCTGGACCCCAACAAGTCTGCCTCTATTGAATAGAATGGTCAGTGCTTAGATACACGGATTATTTGTTTGTTTATTTTATTTTATTTTTTTTGCAGATTGACCTACAGATTCAGTGTCATTGTGGGTGGTACCACCCCTGAGCAGGCAGTCCTGGATTCTACAAGAAGACGGGTTAAGCAAGCCATGGGAAACACGCCAGTAAGCAACACCCCGTTCATGGCCTCTGCATCAACCCCTGCCTTCAGTGTTGCAGAATATTAGTTGAAGATGTGTTATATTTGTTTATGCTGTGGAATATTTGTTTAATGATGCAAAAAGTGTTGCATTCTTCTATGTTGCAGTTGTTTAACTCTGTAAAGCTGTGTTCCTTTGCTGCCTAAACCAAAAACGCCTTTTGGTCTAATAAAGAGCTGAATGGCCAATAGCCAGGGAGGAGAAAGGATAGGAGGGATGACAGGAACAGAGAATGAATGAAAGAAGGAAGAGCAAGAGAGAGGACACCAGGGTCAGCCCCCAGCTACACAGCAAGCCATGGAGTAAGAAGTAAAGGTATACAGAGTAGAGAAAGATAAAAGCCCAGAGGCAGTAGGTAGAAAGGATAATTTAAGAAAAGCTGGTTAGAAACAAGCCAGGCTAAGGCTGGGCATTCTTAAACAAGAATATGTCCCTGTGTATTTATTCAGGAGCTGGAAGGCAGACCCACAAAGAACAAAACAAAACCTACACTCGTGATCCTGCTCTGTTTGAGTTCCTGTCCTGACTTGCTTCAGTATTGAACAGCAATACTGAAAGTAAGTCAAGCAAACCCTTTCCTCCCCAACTTGCTTTTTGATCATGGTGTTTTGTCTCAGCAATAGAAACCCTAGCTAAAACACTTATATAGGATACAGATAAATATTACACAGTATGCTCAGAGTACATTTTTGTTACTGTTTCTGAATACAGTTTTTAAAGTTTGTTAACTTTATGTGTGTGTGTGTGTGTGTGTGTGTGTGTGTGTGTGTGTGTGTGTGTGTGTTCCACATGTGTGCAGGTACTAAAAAAAACCAAAAAGGTGTCATCTTCCCTAGGAGCTGGAATTCCCTGCAGTTGTGAGCTCTGGGTGACAAACTTGAGTCCTTTGGAAGAGAAAGGTGTCTGGAAGAGCAGGAAGTGCCCTTAAGCACTGAGCCATCTCACCAGCCCTTAAGATTTATTTTTAGTTGAATCTGTTGGTCTGTATAGGCAGAAGTTTCTGACCCACCAGCAGCTCCCACAGAAACACACTGAGGCTTATATTGAATTTTAATGAACTCATCTATGATTTTCTTTGTGGCTTGGTACATTTTCTCAAGATGGCAGGCCCATCTTGCTTCTCGTTTCATCTGGTGGTGATTCCTGACTCCTCCCTTCTTCCTCCCAGCATTCTGTTTGGCCTCCCACCTAACCTTATCCTTTTCAGCTATTGGTCAGTCAGATGCTTTATTAAACCAACCACAGCCATATATTACACAGTGTAAAGGAATATAAGAAGACATCAGGTCCCCTGGAAAAGGAGTTATGCACAGTTATAAGCCACCCAACATACATGCTGGAACCAAACTTGGGTCTTCTGGAAGAGCAGCAAGTGCCCATAGCCACCATATGATTTGAAAATGAAAGACAGGATGTAAATATCTCTAATGAATCTGGCTTTCCAAGGCTCTGTTTCTTCTAAGTACCTAGCCAGGCTATTAAGAACCTTGATCTGTCTGTAACTGAAATACAGTCACAAAATCTGCAGTTATGCAGAAATTGCAGACTTTTATGCAAGCAGTAGAGAGATTTTATACAGCATTCAGATTCTGACTTCAATTTCTGCCCTATGCAAGATGACTTGGAATTAGATTCCTTACAGGGGAGCTAACAAGACTGCTCTTTGGGGTGTCCATTGCTTGGTTAAGTAAAGAAACAGAAGGCTGCTTGCACAATGAAGCAATGTGCCAGTCTGTGGCTTCTGCATATTGAAGACTCCAGACACCTGACTCTGCCAGCTCCACCCACAGGGTGGCTCTATATAAATGGACCCAAGTGCAGCTCACCCATCATCCCCGATTTCCAGGACCACCAGCACTGTGCTCTCACGGGAGCCACAACATAGACTGGGTAAGACACTGAACTCTGGGACTGGGACAGGAGGGGCAGGGATGGGGCAGTGTGTGGAGAAAAGGAACTGAGCTCACAGTGCCAGCAGAGGGCCTTCAGGAGGAGACAGGAAAAACTGAGCCAAGATGGGGAGTAGTTACTTCTCTTCTGTTCTCACAGGACACATGGGTGTGAAGCTGCTTGAGTCTGGACTTTGTCTCCTGCTGCTGCTGGGACTTGTCATAATGGTTGCCTCATTCCAGGTCCCACAGAATTTAACCCCTTCCCAGTGGTTTGAAATCCAGCATGTAAATAATAGGACCAACCTCCGATGTACTCCTGCAATGCAGGGAGTTAACAATTATACAGGACGATGCAAGGACAAGAATTCTTTCCTTCAAACAAGTTTTGCTGCTGTTGTTAGTGTGTGTGGCAGGAGAAATACTACTTGCCATAATGGCCTTACAAATTGTCATAATAGTTCAGCTCCGGTATCTTTAACTTACTGTAACCTCACAAGTTGGTCAAGCAATTTTACACAATGTAGATACCAAACAACACCAGCAACAAAGTTCTACAGAGTGGCTTGTGACAACAGAAAGCCACAGGACAATCCTACCTACCCAGTGGTTCCAGTTCACTTGGATGGGTTATTTTAGCTCCAGTACCAGCACTTTGTACCTTCGCTCTGTCTGCTGCCTACACAATCCAACACTGGTGAAAATCCAATTCCTCTGCACTGTCTGTCCTGTGAAACCTATTCCTGACTCCCTTCAAATTTTCTGAACAGATCTTTTCTACTCAATAAATAGCTTTGCATACTCATTTGGATCTCTACATATCTGTGTCTGTGTGTCTGTCTGTGCTTAGCCTATGTGTGTATATGTGCAGGTGTGTGTGTGGGGGGTGTGCAGGTGTGTTAATCTAACTCTGTGTGTGCATGTATGAATCTGTGTGTGTGTGTGTGTGTGTGTGTGTGTGTGTGTGTTGAGACAGGCCCTCATGCCTGTAAGACACACAGGTGCCAAGATAGAGAACTGGAATCCATTTGGAAGTGTGTTACCTCAGAGACTGAAAAGACCTAAGACGACTATACCTGTCATGATAATGTGACTATTGGATAACATGATAGAAGTGTGGGTCCCAATCAGAAACTTACTCTCTAAACCTAGTAAGACCTTGATCCATGCAGTACAGTAGAGGGGCATGGCAGTGCAGAATGACAACAGGTAAACAGGGACTAAGGATGTAATTAGGTTGGTACTGCTTGCCTGTCATGTATAGAATTTGGGGGTTCAGTCCCCAACACTTTGTGAACAGAGCATTCTACAACCACAGTGCTTGGAGGAATAGGCAAGATAATCAGAAGTTCAGGACTGCCCTTGCCTACCTGATGGACCAGAGGATGGCTCTACTTCAAGTCTTGGATAGTCTGAGTTAACAATTTGGTAGCCTTAGAGTGTGAGGACTTTTATTCCCAGATATTGTTGGATTCTAAGACACAAGTTTAGGATACATGTACCAAAAGCAGAAGCTGCCATCCAAAGTGTGAATACAGAAGCCAGCACCTTCCTGGTTCCAAAGAGAGAGCCTGGCATGACTCTTGATGGACATTGTAATTTAGGCTTAAAAGGGGTGTGGTGTACTTTAAAGATCCCTGTTAATTTTATAAATCTTTGTTCAAATTTCATGAATTACTAATCCCAAAGCACCATGTTTAATTAAGGACCTCACAAATGCCTGGGCAGCCAAGACATCCAAGGCCCTGAAATTTTGTAGGACAATTTCTGTAAAGAGTCCAGACTTGCTTGTTGTGCCTAAGAGCAACAGCGGTGACATTCCAGGACTGTTGTACAGTCAGGACAGGTTTTTCATGAACCTTTCTAGTGTAGAAACTTCCATAAATGAGAACAGACCTCTCAGTGTATCCTGTTCATCCTATCACTGGGTTGTCAATATTCAGGATGCTGAACTCAAAAATTTTTGCTTACCTTGGGTCACATCCCTCTTGTATCTACAGAGAAGGGCTTAGACCTTAGCACAACTGACACCGTGATAGAAGTTCCATTCTGGCCTTAAACCCCAGCACTTCAATGAAACACCGGACAAAATGAGAACGAAGACATCAATCAGAGCCCATAGTTCTGGGAAAGTCCTTACATGTACTCACCTTGCTTTCTGGCTTCCGAAGTTCTGCCTTAAGCGGAGTGTTCTTAATAACTGAGGTATGTCAACCCTGAGAAAAGCACAGGACTAAACTCGGGTCTCAAACAGCCCTTACACTCACGAGGCAGCTAATGAAGACTTGCTACTGGCTTGCACCCACATCCTAGTGGTCTCCTATGGTGGACACCTCACAACTGATAAACACAACAACACATTAACTTCCCATCTCTGGACAGGTCAGAAAATACCCTTGTTCCACATAAGAAGTATCCAGTGTGCTCTAATCTTACCACAGTAGGTGGTCCCTGGCCACAGAAGGATTTCAAAGATACAGATATAGAAAGGTTTGAGATGAGATACAGGTTCCCATGTTCGCCAACACCCAGCAGAAGAGGTGTAATGTCTAAGGAAATGGTCATCCTTATGTTGGAGGGGACATGAAGCTGCAATTTCCAAATGACAAAATGAGGAGATTGATTGTGGGATGAGGCTTAAGTAGGTTTTACTATGATACCATGGTAACAAAAGATGTTATTCTGGCATAAGAATGCAAACGGCTTTCCCCAGTAGGACAGGTAATAAGGTAGGTTCAGAATGGTAGGAGAATGGTTCTGCCCCAGAACCAGGAAGTTCAGACAAAAAGACTCAGCCTGAGTCCTCACAGTCTCTGCTTCCCCTGTGGTCCTCTTTTTTTCCTTTCATACAAATTTCAGAAGGAGACATCTAGCATCCCTAGAAATACACCACTTCCACCAAACTGAGAAAAACAACACCTCACCCCAGCCCACCTCCCACGGAGAAATTCCTGTGACCTTCTAACTCAAAGTCACACCTTGAGACAGCAACTTACCAATATGAATAATTAAATCTTGGGCTCTTTCCACACTATTGATGGTTTCCTTGCACAAAAAGTACATAAAACCTGAATCTAAGGCTTAGTGTGGACCATTTCCTAACATTGACTAGGAGCCTCTAAAAGACAAGACAGTTACTCCATTTTATTTTATTTTTTCAGTTTAGGACAAAGCCAGCACTTAAAGGACTTAGTGAGATTAGGCACCTTGTTTTAAACATGAGCCAACCAGTGTCTTATTCCATATAGACATGGAATTTAAAAAAAAAAAAAAAAAGAACAGGAAAATCAACATTAAGTTTTTTTCTTTTATTTAGGAAGGAGAAGTGATTCCATTTTTCCAAGGTAATGCATTGATTTAGGATTATTTGCAGTTTTGCTTTGTTTTAAAGATTTAGACTTATTGCATTGGTGAGTGTACACAAGCCATGGTATGTATGTGGACGTCAGAGGACAATTTGCAGAAGTTGCTGCCTTCCTTCCAACACATGGGTTTGGAGGCACCCTTAGGTGACCAGGCTCAGTAGCAGTGCCTTTATTTGCTGAGCCATCTCACTGGCCCTTGCTCTGTTAATGGAAGGGAAGTTTGAGAACTTTCTTCAGATCACAGGTGTGGGTGTTTTCCTCTGCGTCTACAGCTGGGCTCTCTGGCTTGCGAGCTCTGGATTTATCTTGAAGACATAACCCCAGCTGTTAACATGCAACAGTTTCAAGGCCACTTGGGTTCTCAGGACCACCTGGTAAGGACCCTTTCACAAGGAAGCCAACTGTTCTGTGCTTCTTCCCAGGAGCACCCAGCTCCCTCCAGACTGGGTGTGTGTACAACTTTCTCCCCATTTTCCTGTGGTTGCCCCCAGTTCATAGTGTGCTGTACCTGAGCCATCTGATTGACCTCAGAGCCTGACCCCAGATCCCATGGGAGGAAAAGCCTCCCAGACAACAACAGGGCTGAACCTGGTATCAGTTTGTGGAGCTGTTCTATCTTCCCTGAGGGCAATGGGCACAGCTTCAGCTATTTATCAGAGGTTTCTTGGCAAAGTTTTGCTAGGATCTGATTAAGCTTTTCAATACCCCTGAGGCTTGAGGCTTCCAATTTGAGTAGAGGTAATATTTAATCCCTAGAGTCTTGGATACAGATTGAGTGTAAAGAAAGGTCCATTTATGACTCTAGTGACCAGGGGAGACTAAACTATGGGATAGAGTCCCTTAGGAGGACATCTGCCTCCTCTGTGGTCTTTTCAACCCCAGTGGGTAAAGTTTCAACCCAGCCAGTGAAGATGGCTGCAAACACTAACAGATATTTGAAGCTGGCCCAAGGAGACAAATAAGTACATTCTCTTTGCCAGGCTGCATAGGAATAGGTTTCTCTCCTCTGGATTTGTCTTAGGAGTGGGAGAAGATGAGGGCAGCAGAGCTGTGAAGAATGTAGGAGACACACATGCCTTCCTGTGGTCATTCTCTACCCAAGAACAGTCATGTCCGCATTGCTAGAGAGGATGGAATGAGACAGGCATCCCTGAATTGTCTTCACTGTAGGACCTGGAAGGGAAAGAATTTTATTCCCCATACTGGTCCATGGCCAGTTTCAGTCACCGGTTATTCATGGCAACCTGGAGGAATGATGTAAACTTGGATTTGCATCAACTGTCTTTGAAAGTAGAAGTGCTAACTCTCTGGGGATCTTTGACTCTCTCTCTCTGTGCCAACCTATTTCCTTGGACAATATCAGACATGTCCTTCTGATAGCCATTCCAGTAGATGACTGACCCTTGATAGAGAGGTCAGATAACTTCCAATAGGTTTGGAATCTCTTGTTTATGTTTATTGATGAGTTGTTGCAGTTAACTGTAGTAATTTTTTTTATTATTTAATAAAACTTGACTGAGGAGTCAGAAAGCAAAGTCAGCCTTAAGCTATAGAGATCAGGCAGTGGTTATGCACACCTTTAATCCTAGCAGCCATAAGCTATCGGGTGATGGTTTGCACCTTAATCCTAGGACTCAGGATTAAAAGGTAGCCGGATCTCTGTAAATCCAAAACCACCCAAATTTATCTACACAAGATTGGATCAGTCTAAAAGAGAATAACTCACTCCTTTAATCCCAACAACAGAGGGGTTTAAAAGACAGGAGCAAGGATTCAGTATGAGACATTTGTTCTCCAGCCACACTGAGGAGAGGCAGCAGTTTGAGACTTGCTAAAAGTTCATGCGTAGATCAGCCCCTACAGCCTGAGCTAGAGGTGAGAGCTAGTGGCCGGCTTCTTTGCTTCCCTGATCTTCAGCTTGAACCCCAATATCTGTCCCCGGATCTTTTATGTATTTGTGTTACAGTTAACTGGCTTCATTTTCCAGAGATGACAGAATGGACTTGCAACGTCATGAGGATGTACTTAAAGGCAATGTAGATGTTAATCTTTTTTATATACCTAGAATGAGTCTCCATATTAGAGCTTAGTTGGACCTTTAGATTCAACGTGGGATGTGATAATTCAGTAGACTAAATTATTGCTCTCTGGGTAACAACCACTCTGTAGGTCTTGCACTTTCTACTCAGAAGATAACTACCCTAATCAGGAAACAGTGTCCACCCTGATTGTCCAAGGGCTGACAGCCTTGGCTCACACAGGTGGAGGAGACTATCCCAGAACACAGTGTACCACACATGATGCCACTTCCATGGGCACAAGTGAAGCAGATTTGGGTTAACACAGGTTTTAGAGTATCCTCTGGTTGTCTAGGAAACTTCCCTGATGCTATTAGTCTACTTCCAGATAACTATATGTAGTCCTTTCATTCTAGTGTAGA